CTCTCTCTCTCTCTCTCTCTCTCTCTCTCTCTCTCTCTCTCTTTCTCTCTTTCTCTCTTTCTCTCTCTCTCTCTATGTCTCTCTCTCTCTCTCTCTACAACTACACTTGTACTAATTCCAATTAACTATGGTTTACTTTGCGATTGATTCACACTTTGTTCAAACATCCTTTCAGGAGGTGAGAAAGTTTGGTGTGTGAAATGAAGAGGAAAAACAACAATTTATAGGCGAATTTGGGAGGCGCGCCGTGTGAATTTTCGGGTGCGTTTCACACATATGGTCAGGGGTGCTGACGTGGCTCTTCTCAGAAGTTGAAATGTGGCGAGTTTCGGGTGGTGTTTCATTTTGCGCCGCACACCTTGTCAGCGCACCATGTCATGCTCTGATTTTATAATACCTCAGGGGCTAATGTAACTATTTTAGTAAAATTGAACTGTCTCAGTTCTCGGGCAATCGCACCAAAAACTTGCGTTCCTTTTGGATTTCTTTCTTGATCAATCACAATTGCGGCATTGTCATCATATCGTATTATCATACCATTGTCACGTTTAATTTCTTTACAAGTACGGACAATTACAGCTCTGACCACTTCTGATCTTTCTAGAGGCATGTTTGGAACTGCGTCTTTGATCACAACAACAATAACGTCACCAATATGAGCATATCGGCGATTGCTAGCTCCTACGATTCGAATACACATCAATTCTCCAGCCCCGCTGTTATCTGCTACATTCAAATGGGTCTGAGGTTGAATCATATCATTTTTTTCTTTTTTTTACAATACAAAGTTCGAAGAAAAAAAGAAATATTGTTTGTCCAAAAAAAACCCGCACCCGCTATTTTTTTACCCAAGGCCTATTTCTTTTTTATCCCGAAATGATGAATTGAGCTCGTATAGGCATTTTGGACGCTGCTATTGAAATAGCCCTTCTGGCTATATTTTCTGTTACTCCACCCATTTCATAAAGTATTCGACCTGGTTTAACAACAGCTACCCAATATTCGGGAGAGCCTTTACCTGAGCGCTCGCACACACGCAATTTTTAGTTTCTTTAAAAATTCAAATATTCTTCATATGAGCTCCGTTTTTGATATTCATTATATTCACGTGTAGCTATCGACAAGATCTACATCTTTCATTTAGAAGTCGTCGGCTAGTTCTCACTTTACTTATAAAGCTATATTTTTTAAAGGCTGAGACTAATAAAACCCGTATAAAAATCATGACTTATCAATACGAATTCCATTCTTGTCTGTCTTTATATCGACGATATCTTCAACCCTCGTTTAGATTGTTTTTCGTAACAATCGATTGACTTTAATTTCGGTTTCTGTGTCGAACATTGTTGCGCTGAAACTTCGAAAAATCATAGCTTCCTCATATGAAGTCATATTTGGACGTTCTCCATATGTACAATGTTGGTTTTCCAACTACTATGAATTTCATTTAGGTTACTTAGGCTAATAATCACTCTATCTAAAATTCACTTTTTACGATACACAGAGTTATGTCGGTTTAATCGTGAAACTTCGAATAAGCATAACTTCTTCATACGAAGTCAGATTTTGGTGTTTTATATATCTACAAAAATCGTATCGATGTTTCCTACATATTTATGACGATTAGTTGGAATAAAGAATACTATATATCTACTTTTAATGCTATAAACAATGGTTTATATTGAATCCTACTGAAATGTGAAACCGGGGTGTTACACTCAGTTATTGATAGTGACTGTTAGCGACTGAACAAGCCTTATATCGCCTAATAGATTCATTTGCATTATATTTTCTCAAATAGGCACATGCATCATACCATGTTCACACCTACATGTCTAGGAAAAGGTACCAAACATAATTTTTTGCATCTTCCATATTTATTATTGAATACGGGATCTATAAAGCAACCAACAAAGTTGTTGGGAAAGATTGGGTTGAAGCCAACAAATTTGTAGGCTACTTGGATCCATGTAGCAAGAAGTCCACTTAGTAATGGAAATAACCACAGATCGCATGAGGACAACATTTGTTGGTTCTAATAGCAGCGCTTGTCGCGATGTCGACCTCCGGTTTAACGATAATTACAACCTTGATTCGGATTTCCATGTTGAATTCAACCATGATTTCTTCCCTAGACATTCTAAATACGATTGGATAAGTCAACTGAGCATGACTTGAGGATTCATGGGTGAGGAGGTAGTATAATGATGAGTAGAGAGTACATATTGAGACCTTGTGAGGCAGGATTCATCTATAAGTAAGATAAACATTGCTTGAAGAAATGATGGTAGGGTTTTACAGTGTCAGGTTATTCCTATAATTTGGTCAAACTTTTCACAAAGCAATTAATCATGTGGGAAACGATATTTTTTTTCAGCCATTAGTTCGTCAATATTTGCAACTATATTGGAAATGATTTTAATCTTGTAACAATGTTACGTAATAGATGATCACCAATGGTAACTATGCGAATATTTTGTTCTAGTTGCATGGCCATAGTATCTTTATTATCATGGAACAAGTTTTTGAGACTTTTCCAAACCCCATGAGACTTTAGTGTGTTCTACAGGGACAATGACAAGGTTAACGAGAACATAGAAAGTAAGACAGTGAATCTTGAACAATTCTCTCCAAGAATCATAGTTGAGTTCTTCAATATCACATAATAAAGGAACATACACTTTTATGTTGGTTACTTGAATGTTTTATCAGATTCCAAAGTTCTTGATCCAATCATGATGAAGTGACGATCGATGACTGATTAGGCTTATAGTAAAGAGAGGATTGACGACCATTTAGGGTTAACAGAATTCGATCAACCATAAAAACAAGAGAAAGAAATGAGATGGGAGGGAGAAGAGGGATGTATGGAGATTCAGTCAAAGCTCTAATAACATGTGGATATGTACTTATAAAATTTTCTAATACAAATAAAAGTATACATATTAATACCACCCTTGCTTGTTGTATATATATACTTAAAAAAACAATATGGTGAGAATTAAAACAAATGGAATTAAGGAAAATAACTACTTTATTAATTTATTATGTTTAATAAATTAACCATAAACTATTTTGGAATTAACTAGAAATTAGTTAATTCAATGGGATGAATATTAATTAGTTAAAAGTTAACTAACTAGAATATTCTAGAATCTGAAGGGATAAGGAGGATTTTGAAATCAACATCCATCCCACAGGGGATTGGAGATGCAATTGGTGTGAGGATCTACGACCTATAAATAAAGTGCTAGGGATCAAACCCTCCTTGCTCATTGCCTTGAAATTTTTACTATTCCATTCCTCCTTTCTACTGCAGGAAATTTCTTAACCCTTATTAGGGTTTGTAGAAAATTTTCATTCTCCTAGTTTTCTTTTGATTCTCTCTTTGGTGTCTTGGGTGTGATACCATTAGAGGGATTCATACTATCGGTCCTCTTATCCATGCAAGGTGGCAAGGACAAGATCGCAAGCAAAAAGTCTATAGCTTCAAAAAATTTATATTATTCTTATTGAATTAAGGTGTCTAAGCTCATAACAGTATTGTTAAATAATTGTAATTAAAAGCAAAGTCCTTTTTGGGTTACCCTCAAACCAGAAATAGCTAAGAAATGATATCAGGAGAGAAGGGAAATGATTTGTTGATATATTATATGATAATATATTAATTAGAAATAAATAATAGATTTGTTAATTTGTTATGTGATTAGTAAATTAACATGAGATCAATTATTAAATAATTGGTTTGTTAATTTATATGATTAATAAACTAATATGAAATCAATAAGAATTAATTTAGAATTAATGAGATTTAATTAGAATTAATTTTTGGATTAATTAGAATTAGTTAAAGGTCCAAGGGTTGAATTGTAATTGTTCTTAATTGAGCAAGGAAGGAGAATTCTAGAAACCATAGGGTGTGGACGGTTTTGGCATGCATTTGGAGGGTTCTAGAAGCTTGCTTAATGTATAGGGACTTACCATATTTGAATATATAAAATAGTATTATTTTATTATTCAAATATAGGATTTCTTTTATGTCATCTACATTATAAATAGGACCTCAAGGACTAGAGATTCCGTTCATACCATTCCAAGAGGCTTTGAGGTGAAGGATTCAAGGGTATTGTTTGCTTTATCAATACAAGGGTATGTAACCCTAATCTCATGTTTTACGAATTGAACTAGGGTTCGTGTGTTTCATAGTATGTTGCTATTAATTGTAACAACATAGATCCTTTGGTTGTATTTACCTTTAAGTGTGAAGAAAATTTCCGCAAGTACATTGAAGTTGTAACCTTAAAATTCCATTAGTGGTATCAGAGCCTTGGTCTTACAATTGATTGCACATGAGATGGATCGAACAAAAAAAATTAAAAAGGACACGTTGCACCCTTATATTATTTTCGATTTGCGTGCCCTTATCTGCCTAATTTGAAAGTAGGTCTAGTATTTAGTGATTATCTATTTTGAATCTTTTAAAATCCAAATTTTTATTCAAAAAATATGATTAAAACCCTAATTTGGATATTGAGGAGATAAATACAGAAACTTAAATTTTTGTTATAAGATAATTAAAAGGAATTATCCTTATGGATTTAAATATTTAATTTAATTAATTTTAATAAAAAAGATAAATATTAAGTCCATAATTTATTCAAATGATTTAATTAATTTAATTAATAGCTTAATTAAAAGATAATGAAAAATTATTTTAAAGATTAATAAATGTACATTCATCATCCAGGTAATTTGTAATTTTGACCCTTATATATGGAATTTGTTGCAAGAATGGTCCCATGGCCCCATTAGTGAAACACGCCACTTTGATACGTACGTTGGGTGTACGTTTGGTACGTTGGGCGTACATGGCAAAGTGCAAACCCTAGTTTTTAGGGTTTGAGCACTATTTAAACATCATTAACTCCTCCAAGACTCCTTACCTCATCAGCCTCCAGTCCATTTTCGTACCTAGAAAACCCTACTTCCTTTGTGTGTGCATTTTAAGCTTGAAAGTATGCTTTGTGGTGTTCTTGAAGGCAGAAGAAGGGAAGGAAACCACCTTGGAAGCTGAAGACACCTTGGATCCAGACATATCTTTCCCTCAAGCATCATTTGGAGGTATAAAGTTCAGACCTTGATGCATATTTCCTTTGGATCTTTCTAGCTCTTAGGTTTTTATGCTTTTAGTCCCATAACCTTGTTGTTCATGAGTATGGATTACTCTAACACATATGGGTTGTTCTTACAGGTGTTTTTAGGTGCTTAAAACCATACAAATGTGATCTTGGTACCTTTCGTTTCTTCATGCATATATATGAAGTTTTGGTTTGTGTAATAAGTTAGGGTTTTGTTGGTGCACCCTTTCTAGCATTGGAAAGTCATAAACTTGGAAACTTTATGACTTAAAATGTTGTTTTGGAACTAGATCTGGGTTTTTGGATGAAGTGTCCTAATAGATTAAGCAGTTATTAGAAGGAAAAGTTGGTAGACGTGTACAGTGGGCGTACATGATGGTAAGGTCATAATGTTGTTTAAATAAGGCTCATGCCCGAAAAATTAGGGTTTGGTCTTGGCTTCCGTACGCCTTGCGTACACCATGTACGTCCAACGTACGTGGTTAAGTTCCCCGATTCCATGCACGCACGTACGCTAAGCGTACCAAATGTACGCCCAACATACGAGGGGACCATTTTCGCAAAAAATTCAAACTTAAAGGACCAACAAGAACATACCTGGAATCGTATGTTACACCGG